GAGCCGGCGGGGCCGCAGGAGCCGGCGGAACATACGGGTCGGGACTAAAACCATGGGTACCGCCAGCGCCTACGCTGGTGGTACAATAATAAATACTGCAGTAAACTGCCCTTCAACCTTCCTATCAGTCCTTAATTTAAATGGTTCCGGTATAAAATAAACCAACATATACTACCGACAAATAGTTATCTTGCTAAAACTGGTTTGGTAAAAAAAAACCCTTTGTGAAAGGTGAGAGAAAGAGACGGAGACAATTATTCATGTACTATGGGACTGTTCCATAAGAGAAATCTTTTAAAAAGTAATCAAAGATAAGCTGAGAATGACTTTAGGGAAAAAAACATTTATGTTTGGAATTCTTGACAAAAAGGAAAGTAATAAAGAAGTGTATAATATCTTAAATATGTTAATCAAATATTATATCTACAGCTTAAGGTGCAGAAACAAGCAATTGTTACTTATTTCTTTTGTTGAATTTGCTAAAGAATATCTGGACTCAAAACAGAATTTGGGCCATCATAAGGCGTATGTACGTATGCTTGCACAATTTATGATATAATACATGCCGAATGTAATACTAATAGTATGACAATCCCTTATGCCTTGGGGACATAGTCAATTAGAGCATCTAACATCTTTGTGTACGTAAGTTCACAGCTTTTATATGAATCTGAGATATATCTCGATAGTCCCAACTGTCAGTCTTGTGTGTTGTACCATATTATTTATGGAGACTATTATACGTTTATATGTTGGTTTGTGATGTGTAGTAACTTCTTCTGTGTGACAATGTAAGTAATGCTTTCTGTTAGTCCCGACTATTGGCATAATAATGAATGCTGAGTTAAGTGTCCAATTTGACTATGGTATATTATAAATGTTAGTTTTGTAATGTATAGAATTTGGTATGACTCATACATGCCTATTAGCTGGTTTGTTTGTTTATATGTTACGATATATGTTAATCATTTTGCATTATGTGCGACTTTATTCAGGTATTATATACTATTACTACCGTTATTTTGTGCAACGTATTCTGCCACTCCCCTTTATTAGTGCTGTTAACGTCCAATGAGACTACTGTATGCTAGTTTGTGTCTGTTGTATATATGTTGTAATATGTGAATAGTGAGAAAAATGTATGTTTTGTTTTGTGATGTCAATAAAAAAAACTCACCAGAAAAAAAAAGTACTGGTAGGTCACAGGCCAATTTCAAGGTCACGGTTAGATTGCCAGCATCGATATATAATTTCTTATTCAAGTTCAATAGTAACTATGGGCGTATCTCTGCTAATTTTGGAGTATTTCACATTTTATTTTCACCACTGAATATTGTGACATTGTACTTTTTGATATGGCACAACTCCAAAACCGTATCGTAAACAAAAAATGGACACCACCTTCAGTATTGCGCTTGACAAGCTCTATAAAATGCAAAAAATTAGAAGTCTCTGGCATTTAATTACGGTTCAAGAATCGGAGTTTTTAGTTAACGCATCTAATGGCTGCTTCTCCCATGAAAATGCACTGATTGACCCCAAACTTCCAAAGATCAAAGGTGTCCTTACTTGTAACCCCTCACTATAATATGAGAGCTTAGGTCTTTGTACTTTCTGAAAATTGGCACAAACAAAAAATTTTTGCAGAAAATTCCCATTTTTAGAAAATTTTGGCCTGTTTGACTGTGAAATAAAGGTCAAAGATCAAATCCAAGGGCATATTTGGAATACCCTAGGTTCTAGATTCCGGTATTGCCAGCTCGATCTTGTTTTCATATATAACCCATATCAACAATACCGTAAAAGCGACTCCATCACAAGGTATATATTTAACAAGCTAGCTTTTACGTTGCTCTGACACTCAGGGTAATTTGGAATCTCCACATATGACTTTCAGTCAGATTTCTGTTTTTTCCCATAATTCCTTCAATTTGGGAGATATTTAGCACTGAATTTTAAAAAATATTGACAAGGTGCATTTCAATGAGCCTTACGACCAGGCCAATGCACCAACTGAGACAAAAAAAAAAAAAAAAAAAAAAAAAAAAACAGGGGGTTCAAGTTGAGATTATATGTGACCTAAATCCAAGAGATGGGGATACAGGTCCTTCAATCTAGGAGGAGAAGCAGCAACAGTGACTTGTATCCCACGCTACCCTGCATAGCCAGGGGAGCCCTACAGGACAGGTCAGCACTAAAACCATGAGTACCACCAGTGTACACGCTGGTGGTGCTAATCATGTGATCTAATGCAAATCAGTAAAATGAGCTGTGACAATATTTTAGGTATGGAATATACTAGCCAGGAGTATCTGGTATGTGTTACAAGGTCATAAGTCCAGCAGGTGAAGTGCATAAAATGATTCTTGTATTTGTTGCTTAGTTAACTACCAAGTGGGTTTGATCAACAAGAACTTTCTAAGTGTTGGGACGAAATATATAAAACTAAGTATATGATGTAAAATTTCACCAATACACTGTAGTTGAAACTCAAATAATGACTATAGCTGAAAAGTTAAGTTGTCACCTAAGGTATAGTTTGCATCCTAGTTGAGGTACAGACAGCATCCTAGATCAATTCAACTACAATCAATACAACTACTTGTGGTAATTTGATCTATAAAAACATTCCTTTAAAACTGACCTGTTAAGAAAAAGTACTCTGCAGTTGTAAGCCACATTTTTATGCTTGACAGGCCTGAAATAACAAATATACCAACATGTATTTATACTAAGTAACCAAACAGTTAAAAAATCAAGCACTGAAGTACCCACAGTAAAAAGAAGGCAATAAATACACACTAAGGCAATAAAAAAGCAAATTGGATTCAGCAATATATATCCAGAACATACAAAGATACAGAGTTGCTTTTTTTAAAAAGACATTTTAAGACACATTTTCATATATATATTCTATAATGTATGCAAATACTATTTTCCTAACCCTGCCACTGATATTAGTCTTGCTTTAGTAAATGACTAAATTAACACAGTGATCAATTTCTGGCAATGCAATGGTAAGTTGGTAAAAAAAATTTTTTCAAAAGTCAGACAAGCCAGTGTCACTGAAACTAAGACCCTACAGACTGTTAGATATGGATGTATTACATTTATATTTATTTATAAAAAATTAGGAACACTCACATGCCCACATCACAGATAATATCCTGACATATGGGAGACTTCAGCAACTGAGCAAGCACTTGGAATGAGTGAAGAAATGTATCACTTTCAAGGAAATGATCTTGGCATCCATAACCTCTGAAAAAATGATACCAGTAAAGTACCCGCACTTGTCAATGAAAAACCTGCAATTAGCAGAATTGTTTTTATATTTTCTCATGCCTTTATAATACCATGGGGCACCAATCACTATTTCATAACAATAATCACAAGAGTTGACCCATCTTGCACTATATATATTCTTATAAGGTCAGAGAATTTAAGAATTTGTGATGTTTTGTTTAATAGTACTTGAATTCATGGAAAGAAATGTAATTTACGGAATATCAAGCTCTGGTCCAAGTCTGTAAGTAGCTCCTTTTGATTTGGCTTCATGAATACCTGAAGTGAATAATTAACACAGTTGAATATGTAGTGCAGTACAGCACAACACGGCACAATACACTGGAAAAAACAAGTCCTGTACCAAATCCACAAAAGAAACAGATATTCCCAACAAAGTAGGAAGATATAAAATCAAACTATATTACAAGATAATTAATATGGTTGATATAACTGAACAGAAATTGGTTGGCAATTCCATGTTTATTGTGAAAAATATTGCTTTGAAAAGAATTTGTATTCAGTTTTTAACCTGAAAATAATTAAGCAGTAATCTATGCTGAGAGAAGTGCATCTTACATACAATGATACATCTATATTTATGTAAAATCTAGCAAGCAACAACGGTACATAACATTATAGAAATGAGTTGGCATATCTATTGATGAATTTATATCCATTAATTATCTGTGATTATTATACTGCTGTAGGGCTCGAGACTTATTTGTCAGGTCACCTGTCCGGTCGGGCTTACTCCTAACAAATTTCACCTGTCCCCAGCTAATTTCCACTTGCACAACTGTGCCCTTGCGTAATTCCCGCATTGAAAACTATGTTTTCCCTCATTTTGAGACATGCAGCACCACCGAAGGTGCAATATTACGACAAATGTCCGATGGAATTTAGTTAAGAGCACTTATCTATATAACACAGGGCCGTAGCCTCCGGGGGGGGGGGGGGGGGNGTCCACAGAGGAAGAAACGTTATTCCTAATCCTGAGACAATCTACGAAATGAAGTCCAATGGGCGTGTTGTGTTGAAAAAATGACTGTACTTATGGCAAAATGAACCCACAATTTCTTACTTCTGATTGAGCAATAAATAACAGTTAAAATGCACCAGAATGCAGTATTATACATACAGTTTTTAAAAATTTTCCATACCGTGGGAGGGGCTTTCGCTTACAACGTTGTAAAACACTCGTCAGAAAAAACTTATCTTGTAATATATGTCCGCTTACTGCCCCCCCCCCCCCCCTGGGATTTTGCTCAGGCTACGGCCCTGTAACAAAAATGAATATTTCTGTTTTCCACTTATTGTTTACTCAACATGCGTTCGACACGGTACCTCATAACAAACTACTTCATAAGTTACATGCCTATGGGATACGAGACAATTAATACACCGGTGGATTGCATCTTTCTTGTGTAATCGTCAAATGAAGGTAGTTGTTGAAGGCGAGAGTTCAAGAGGAGTGAATGTCATGTCTGGAGTACCACAAGGGACAGTACTAGGCCCTCTTCTCTTCCTTTGCCACATAAACGACCTACCGGACTCTGTAAAATCCAAAGTACGCCTTTCGCTGATGATTGCTTACTATACAGGGAAATATCTTCGCAAAAAGACCATATTATTCTTCAACAAGACCTCGCAAGCCTAGAAAACTGGGCTATGAAATGGGGCATGCGTTTCAACGCTTCCAAATGTTATTCTTAGTGTTTGCCAGAAATCTTCTTTCTTTTACCAACTGGATAACAATGCTTAAATGTTTAGATGCTTAAAAATGTTCAGACCAACCCATACCTAGGAGTCATGCTTTCTTCCGACCTTAAATGGTCAACTCACATAAACAACTTATGTAAAAAGGCCAGTTGCCTACTAGGATTCATTAGAAGGAATTTATACCATAGTCCAGTTATCACACGGAAATCTGCCTACATAGCTCTTGTCCGTTCCACTCTAGAATATGGGACCCCTATGTAAAAACAGACATCGATAAAATGGAAAAAATTCCAAGAAAAGCTGCACGGTTCATCACTGGGGATTACAAGTCTCAATCCCCAGGTAGTGTCACCTCCATGCTGAAATCACTAGAGATACCACTACTGCAGCACCGGAGGAAGGAACTGCGGCTAACTTTTCTCTTCAAGGTGGTTGAGGGGTTAGTTCCAGCGATACCCCCCGACACTTACTTCGTACCAGTCTCTAACGAACGCCGCATAAGGGCTAAATCTTTCACTGACTTTGACTCTGAAAACATTGTGAATAGTACTAATAACAGTCGCTGCTTTCGCTTACAACGTTGTAAAACACTCGTCAGAAAAAACTCTTTCTTCGTCAGAACAGTTTCCGATTGGAATGGACTCAGTGACCAACAAGTAAAAGCTGAAACTGTTGAAAGCTTTAGATCAGGACTACTATTTGACTAAGGCTCTGTTCTCACAACTTTTAGATCGATCTATCACCGCGGGGAGTCTCACTAGATTACTGTCAGATAATCCCCCTTAAGTGTCCGTCCCCGCCTACTACAAGCTTTAAGGGGTAATTAACTTTCGTGTCCGCCCGGCTGACAGCTATTTAGCGTGAACCCCCAGGGAGTTAGGTCGATCCAATGTAGGTCGATCTAATCTATGAGAATGGGGTGTAAGTTTCTCATGCGCTCTCTTCTACCCGTCTACTTCATACCAGTATTGGTGTCTCTAGCCGTATATGGACAGATACAGATGCGGCCCGACTGAAGCCGTATTTCTTTATCCAGCACGTGTTGTTAGGTGTTCTTAGACGTCCGTGCGCGGCCCGTCGTGTATTTGTATCTGTCAGTATACGTCTGTGTGTAGAATCACTACTGGTATTGTAATAGGCGGGAAGAGAGAGCGCATGGGAATCTTAGTCACGCTGTAGGCATGATCTGAAGCCTTCCACAGTTTCGTCTCAGTTTCTGCAGTAATTTGTTGGTCACTCCGTTCGTTCCACTTGGAGACTCTTTTGATAAAGAAAGAATTTTTTTTCTAACTGGCGTGTTGCAAACGGTAACAGCGACTGTTGTTTGGTACTATCAATAACGTTTTCAGTGTCAAAGTCAGTGAATGATTTGGTCCTTATACCACGTTTGTTGGAAGCTGGTATTAAATAAGTGTCAGGAGGTATCACTGGTACTCAACCACAACCAGTTTCGGCTGCTCCCCTTTTGACCAGTTTCAGTGGCCCGTTTTCAGTGTTTTGTGTAATACATGTCTATGATACGTACTTGTTTTATTATTATTATTATTATTATTATTATTATTTGACACTGCCGTTACTGGTAATTCTATTTTTTTTATTATTTACATCAAGTCGTGGCGGATGCAATGAGTTTATCTGCAGTGTAGCCTCGTTTACGGAATAAACTGCAAATCTAAACAACTCACCCAAAACGAGACAAAGCGGGGGAGTACATGACAAGGTGTGGTGGGAAAATTTTGAGCAGTTCTCACACTTCTGTCATTATTTTGAATAGCGTGGATATTTCATTAATTTGAGATCAAAACGATAAAATAAGTTCCAATAAAGACTACGATATGCACTTACTTTAAAAATGTGGAAGGAAAATGCGCTAGTAGGCCTAGAAATAAAATTGCTCATGGAGCAAAAACCTTGCAAATGTTGTAATTTTTTTAAATTTCAATTTACTTGTAATTTTATAGTGTAGGCCTACTAGTAAGAAAGTAAATAAAGTTCATGACAGACGCGTGCGTAGCCACATTAGACAGAAATGAAAATGCGGGGAGTAGGCCAGGGCCGTAATCTGTAACCTTGGTAGGGGGTAGAGTAGGCCTTTTCTATGTTTTTTAAACGTCTTCCCCATTTTTATTCCTCCTAAAACCATCAAATGGGGAAAAGAAAGACCAACAACAAGTTCAATCATCGTCACGATCATTGCAGATTCACCGCACAATGCCCGTAAGGGAACTGTAGCCTCGGTCACAACCGGACGCACGAATTTTAGGACCGTACGTTTCCTGTAGCCTCTACCAGGGAGACAGATTATATAGGAAAATGGAAAAATGCAGAGAATGATATGACTATCTATTTGTCTAAAGACACATCCTTGAATATCTTGTGAAAAATCAATCTGTCGACCTGGTAGAGGGTACATCCCCTTCGAGTTTTGGTTGTAGCGGAGGCCGCGAAAGTCGTAGAGGTAGAGGAAAAGCCTTGGTCACAACCGTTCTTACGGATTCTTACGGCCTGTTTGCGTCCAAATTTTTGCAAACTGGCTGAACGCCAGCGTGCGCCTTGAGCACGCACTCTATACTCCTGACGCGGGGGGAGGGGGGGGGGTGACGCATGTGTGATGCAATCCCGCCGTGCGTTCGATTTTGTTCGTAGGTTGGTTGTCAGGGCGTGCGCCGTACTTAACACGCAAGGGACACTTGTTCCTTGCTTGCGATGTGCGTCTTAAATCACATTTGTTTCCACGGTACCTTAAAATCGTACGTCATACTTGCGAACTCCTGGCAAACTCCTCGCAAGGGCAATTTGCGGCTTCGCTGTTTGCCGAGAATTCGTAATTTGTTGGACATCTCCAACATCATCCGTACGTGCTTGAGGGCTGTGTGCAAACTCACAATTTCGCAAGAAGGACTTGCGTGGCACGTGAGATTCTGCACAAAATTTGGACGCTAACAGATCGCCTTCCTCTGCAAGGAATTTTCACAAAAAGGAATATACGCGTAGTATACGGGCACGTGGTGGCATCGCAAGCAGTGCCGGATTTAGAGGAGGGGCCAGGGGGGTTGTGTCTGTAGTATATCAAGTTCAAGCGGTAACGGTTACTTGTATCCGCCATGACGCGGAACCGGCGGAGGCCGTACGAGACGGGTCGGAACTAAAACCATGTATACCGCCACGCTCATGCTGGTGGTACGATGATTGGTCGTTGGAGGGTGGAGTTGTCTGTTAACTGGCTTTCTTGCTCCGAACTATTCATCCAGTCTTGAAAAGTCGATTATCACTGTGTCTTTTCACGAAACTGTTGACTTGGTAATCATGAGTACAGGATGGACGTGGACCGTTATCGGCCTTTAGAAAAACAGGACTCTCCCGCAATCAAAAATGTCGTAATTGAAACGCCCTTTTTTAACATTTGGCGTGCGCTTAAAGGTACATTTGAATTGATGGAGCGTGAAACAACTTCTACCAGTTTCTTATACGATTCTAATTTAATAGCACTAAGGTCATTCAATTAAATGACATCAAAGGCGTTCCCTCATTTTATGCGTCCCAACCTTTATTCTATCTTTAATTCATATTAATAATGCATGGTGTCCATGGGTCGGGATGGGAGTTATTGAGTGCAAGTTAAAATTCTATAAGAGTCAACAAGCGTAGAAATTGTTCTCGTAGTAGTATAGTTCGATTTGATTGGTTAATTTTCAATAAATTTGCAAGTTTCGGACACGTGTAAAACATATGCAAACTAAGGATGGAAAAGGTCCAAGCATGAGTAATTCAAATAATATTTCTTTTTAATTAAAATTGTAAACAAGTCTCTTAGAAATTACCTAATAAGGAAATATTGAATGGCAGTTTGCAACATGAGAATGGAAAATTCCTTGTTATCACGCAAAGACAATGGAAAGAGAACAAGAAAATGCATGATCAGTACGGAGAAATAGAGTATAAATACTTGTGAAATTGTATGAAAAAGACATTCGGTAAATAAACGTTTGAAAGCTTCAAATCGTCGTTATTCTTCACTATAAAACATATATGGATAACTTCCATGTGCGTTCGGTAGCACTCAAAACTTAGTGATAAAGATTCTAAAAGCCGAGTTCGCACGAAAGTTTATCACCCTTTAGCAGCTCGAGGATTGCTAATCTGATTGCATTCAGTGAGAGTCCCGGTGGAGTTGGATCAATCTACGTAAAACGATAGTTTCGTGGGAACGCATCCTTAGATGCCGTATGTAATTAAAATTCTTCAGATTGATGAACGTCTTAAAATGTTTCGGACTATCGAACTTTCGGACTTATCGGACCAATGAACCTTCGGACCAATTAACCTTCGGACTATCGAGACGCCCCCGCGTTAACAGGGGATACTTACTGCATTTTCGTTTGGGGAGCCATCTTGCCCCGACCCTGGGGCAACTTGCCCCGTGGCAGGGCAAGTGGGCCCCCCTAACGTCAATTGCGTTTTTTGTCAAATTGTTAGCCATCTGACTTTTGGCCTATATTTGACAAATAATGACATCGCATACGTAGCCAAGTTCATGTGGCTTACTTTGAAACCGGTTTTGTTGCTTCAACTCGTTTACAGTTGGCTTCACAAGGTCAAAAATGTCAAACTGGACCAACTAGCCCCGGTCTCCCCTAATTGCTATTAGACTGGTTTTATTCCAGTGTATTACGCTGTGTTGCGCAATTCAACTACATTTGGATGGAGTTTTGGAGATAGACATTCTACACTTTCTATTCAATTCTACGCCGTCTTGTCATCGATAACTTACTCTGAACATTCTACTTTGACCGCTACTTTCTATTCTATGCTACACCGTCTTGTCACAGATAACTTACTCTGAAGGATTCTCTGCATATTTCCCTCAAAATCCATAGCCCACTGATTTAAAGAACATGTTGCAACTATCACTTTTCTTCCCATTTTAAAACCATTTGCCGAAAATACTTCGTGAGGTTACACACCACACCTAAATTCGGTACACCACACCTAAATTCGGTGTGACGTGTACGGTCCGTTTCGCGTGAATCATCCGTCTTGACCGATTGTAGCCTACACGCAGCAGACGCGTGTATGAGCCATTCCGTGAATGATCCGTTGTTATTCACCTGTACTGTTATATTCGGCTAGTTCCTACCTCATTATATATATATATATTTACTATGATGGGGATATTTCTAGGTAAAATTCTTGTGTTAATTTTGATAGAGAATCAGCGTCAAATTACAGTTCGGCGCATGAAACGGTGGAAAATGGTGGTAACCGCAACACAGGCCAGTTGTTAATAGATGGCGCAGCGAGTAGTTTTTAGAGGGCATTGTGCAAAGAAGAAAGATCACCTTTGACAAGGTTTACAATTGTATTTTTTATGGATTATGTGTTAATATATTTATTTTTTCTTTTTTACCTACAAAGTTTTGGTAATTTTTTCTCCTTGATTATATCGGCTGAAAGAGAAATGTATAAAAATGAATTTGGAAAAAAGAAACGTTATTTTGAATTTTTGCCATGGTTTAGATCTCTTTTCAAAAATAAGTGAAAAATAAGAGGATTGTAAGGAGTAAACAGTTTCTGTATGTTTTGTTGATACTAAATAAGTTTCTTAAAAATGGTAAATATTTACTGGCCGTTGATGCTGTTTCCTTCTCATGCTCTGAGTAAACATAATGGAAACAGATGTGAAGAGTGACAAGCCCTTTATAATGGCCCATTCAAAGAATCCTGGATCCGCCCCTGGAGATATCGATTTACGAATTATTGGCAGATTAAGATGAAAATGAAAAGTAGACAAAATTTGATAAACACTTTAAGTTACAAATTAATTAAAACATAATGGTTAAACAAATCCATTCCTACTGTTTTGCTTGCAGATCAAGTTCGAAAACCATCTTGATCGTTTTAATTTTGATAAAGTTGTGCCTTTTTTAAATGAATTTTCCTCAGACTCGTTTTTAGGCATGTTAAAGGTCTCATTGTTGAACTAACCACTTACATATGTGTTCTTTTGACGTTTCTTTTCTGAATCTTAACAACTTTGATAGTTGATTATTTAAAATTATGATAAATTTTTTATTGTTTATTTTGCAATAATGTTTATTTTGTCAGATTCAATCCTGAAGAGAGAGAGAGAGAGAGAGAGAGAGAGAAGCGGGGAGGGGGGTTATAATATTTTACAACTCCTGCGCTCGCTCTCAACATATGGAATATGTTACATTTGGGAGAAAACGTCACGGCGGGCAGGGAATCTTTTTTTTTTCTTTTTACTTAGGATAGACGACCGTCTATCCAAGCATTTACAAACCACATATATAGTCTCCTTGAGATTATGTTTTTAAAACACCCAACAAAATTGATTTGTTTTGTTCTTTTTTATTATATCATTTTATAGAGCAATTAAATAATTTATGAATTAAAGCAGATAGTCTGTTGAAAGACGAGAGAGAGAGAAAGAGAAAGTGTGTGTGTGTGTGTGTGTGTGTTAGAGAGAGAGAGAGAGAGAAAGAGAGAGAGAGAGAGAGAGAAAGCGAGGGGTATAATCAGTGCCGGATTTAGAGGGGGGTCAGGGGGGGTCCTGACTCCCCCTTCGGTTTCTGCAAAATATATCACACCAATCTTTCCTTCTTGAAATTAGACCCTGCCTAATCCTCTTTCGAGATGGAGACTTATTGTGCCTCCAAATAAACCAGACTGTAATTCAAATGAAAATAATTTTAACAGCAACCCCTCAATCAAAATGTGCCGAACCTGTTGTAATTTGCATAACAGTAAGTCGCTCAGCGCAGTACGCACTACTCGTATCTTCTTGACTGGTCACTTGACAGCTGCACACTATGAGGACAGGACGCTGATATGTGTGATGAAGTCGCACTGCGGCAGGGTCGAAATTTTCATTCAGCTTAGAAAATTGTACCAAATTTGTCATGTGAGTAAAAGCTTTTCGTGTTTTTTACGAGTTCAAACTACCAGAAAATAAATTCTTATTATTTTATTCGTTCTGAACTTCAAGTTGGCCTAAGTAGTTGACTGGATTTGAGAAATGTTGCATAGTGATATTTTTAAAAATCTTGAAAAGCACATGCTGCCAGTAAAAACACAAATATAACATGAAGAAAGTTATATTAGATAGTTTGATTTTGGTGCCCAGATGCTGCCACTTCAATGTCACTCACTGTTCGTAATTAGGCCACCTGAACACGTTTCGTATTTTTAACACTTTCATAGTACATGTACTTGATATATTAGTGTGAATCGTGAGTGCTCAAGTTAAAGAGAAATTTGAGAAACCGATTTTTCAGCTTTTACCCCAAAATCTTATTATGACGTCACCCGTAAGATGGCGTATGTGTAAATGTTAATTAATTACGTCACTAAACACACAAGATATATTAATTACCCAAAAGAATGTATGTAAGGCAGTAAATAAGGGGTTTTGGGCGAAGGGTGACAATATCCTTAATTCCTTAGTCTTTGACTGGGTTTCTATACCTAGATCAATCTAACAGGATCGATCCATCTCCGAGGGTTTTCTCGCTAAATTGCTTTCAACTTAAGCGGCTTAGATGTCGTACGCGTACTGAAGTTGCTAAACAATAATTCATTACACCTTAGCAGCTTCACTAGGCGTGATAGACATCTAAGCCGCTTAAGTAGATTGCAATTTAGCGAGAAATCCCTCGGAGATGGATCGATCCACAGTTAGTACAGTAGGGTCTGGAAACGGTCCCTTTACCTTGTAAACGCTTTCCAAAAGTATTGGCGGCATAATTTCTTGTGATTCTTCCCATGGTGAAATATCAAAATTATTTAATCTTATATACAAAACCCGTTTTTTAAATTTGGTTTTCAGTTAGCCTCAATGTGATTTTTTTCGGCATGGGCAGAGGTTTTTCCATTTTCAGTTAAACTAATCTTCATTCGGATTCTCTGCTTTCGAAGACTGAAATATCACCATTTAAATGTCATTTTGATATTTCAGAACCGCAAACGCCTTTGCCGAGTTTCTGCAGAGTGCACGTGCGCCTGACTATTAGGCTTTCCTGGTCTCCGAGACGTATTTTAAAAGCTGCCGCAGATCCAGATTCATTCGCACCGCAGATGTTATATGTTGAAAATTGTACATGGTCTCTCTCTCTCTCTGTGATTTTAAAACACATAACAACATATTGAAACGGTGCTCTAAGATCGATCATGTTCTTTTTAGATTTTCAGTGTTTGCAATTAAATCACACATTTCAAAGTTGAGAGTAAAAGTGCAATTATTACGATGTTGAAGTTCGGGTAAGATTGTTTATTTAGCCAATCAACTACCTTATCATATTATTATAATTTACATTGTATAAGTCAATTTTTATTGTTAATATTTACACTTGTGAATGACAAGCAATTTATGAAAATAAATGCGCTTTTTGGGGGTAGTTTTTGCTCAGTCTAAAATACACAGAATTATAGTAAAATTGGTATGTACTGGATTTTTGAACCTGTACTATTCCCTACTTGAATGAATTTTTGTTCTCCAGATTAAATCTAAAAGTGCTTTTAAATTTTAAAATTGATGAAAAATTTGAAATTAACACAAAGCAGTTTCATTATAATGGCACGAATTATTAATTTGAGTAAATTATGAAGGTGCCAATTTTCAGATTTATCATTTCCGGTTAAATATCGGCTGTCGGCCTATTCTTTGTCCAATGAATCCAGTTCTGTTAAAAGACTGTTCTATTTCCTCATTATCTAATATTATTTGAGCACATGAGTCCTCCAGTAAACATTTGTTTGTTCGTGGTTTTCTGTCATTAAAGATGCCATATAATAAATAATACATTGAAAATTTGGTCTTTGCTTGTAGATTGAAATGAATGATATGAGTGAGAGAAAAAGCCGTCTTGTCTTTGGGCGAGTCTATCAAATGTGAGGGGTGAAAGGTGGAACAAGTCCATTCGATTTCAGGGGTGTCAGATGGGGCGAGTTCACTCTATTTTAGGGGTGACAGGTGGGGCGATTTCATTCCATTTGAGGGGTGACAGGTGGAGAGATTCCATTCCATTTTATGGGTGACAGGTGGGGCGAGTTCATTCCANTTGGGGCGTTTCCTTTCCATTTGAGGGGTGACGGGTGGGGCGAGTCCATTCCATTTGAGGGGTGACAGGTGGGGCGAGTTCACTTTATTTGAGGGGTGACAGGTGGGGCGAGTTCATTCCATTTGAGGGGTGGGAGGTGGGGCGATTCCATTCCATTTTGAGGGGAGTCGGGTGGGGCAAGTTCATTCCATTTAAAGGGTGACAGGTGGGGCGAATTCATTCCATTTGAGGGGAGACAGCCGGGGCGAGTTCACTTGATTTGAGGGGTGACAGGTAGGACGATTCCATTCCATTTTAGGGGTGACAGGTGGGACGAGTTTACTTCATTTGAGGGGTGGCAGGTGAGGCCATTCCATTCCATTTGAGTTTTGACAGGTGGGATTACCCCATTTCATTTGGGGGGTGACATGCCTGTTTCTATAAACAAATTTAAATCTTATGTATAGATTGCAAGATTGAAAATTTATACTTAATATTGAAATTTAGATATTCTTTCAGCAGGTCAGACCTTTAATGTCCAAGTTTATATTTACAAAATACTGTGCATAATTACAACCCTTTAAACCATTTCAATTTTAAATTTCAGGTTTCATAGAAAACCGTCATTCCCCAAAGAAAATTACACACTTTTCTCGATTGAAAGCGAAACTGTTATCACAACTCTATAATATCTTCCCTTTCCCATTTAAATATTGCTGTACTGTGTATTTTCTATCAATATGAAAAAATAACAAGGAATTATAGAAATATTTATTCGGGTTTGATATAAGAAATAAATGAAATTGAGCATGATATATGTCAACCAAAGACCTTGTTGTTGCAGGCCCGTGTTGCAGTTTCTCCGTGGGCTTCTGAAATAACAAAACAACGCATACAAATTTTGATTCAACTGACAGATTGAGATCATTTTGACTTATTCTCGAGAAGCGCATAAGATCTTATTTGAACATTTTCTTTTAAACATATATGAAATAAATTACACATAACATGGATGAAAGTTTTAATCAAGTTTTAATATACATGTAGTTGGTCGTGTAATGGAGGAACAGAATACGGCACACTGGAGACGGTAGTCAACCGGCGTAAAACTTTCATGTGTAAACCATCGCTTTATTAGCAATTGACATGTGCGTGAACGTGTGTTGTATTATATTAAAAACACTTACCTTACAAAAAGATCTTTGACAGCATGAATGGATTGCCAAGGTCTAATCTGAAACAAGTAAGAGAACGTTAATAGCTATGTGGACCCTTCTTGTAGTAGTAATAATAATAATAATAATGATAAATTGATTCATTCTAAAAATTGCTTATTTTTCCCGGGTGAAATGATCAATACATTACAGTACATAAATATAACCTAAAAGAAATCGTTAAAGCCATCGTAATTGTCTTCAAAAGTGACGGTTGAAATGTTAATTAAATTTGACTTTAAAATTGTTGCCAGGGCAGGCTTCTTGTATCCAAAACTCAGAACTATGACAATAAGGTTAATATTATCTAAATGAATCGGTCTTTTTTGTGCAGCTATGTTTATATTTACACGAAAACATTTTAATTTAAGTCACAAATGCGCTTTAAATTGCCAGGGGGTCATACAAAAAATTTTACACGTGCAGAAGTAAATATAGCTAGTTTGACAGATTTCAAGCAAACTTATTGTTTCATCAATGGTCAGCTGATAGCACCATTTCTCCTGTACGTTTGTAGTCCCAAAGCATTGTAACCAACATATTCTGACATTGTGAGTGAATACGTACAAGTAACAATGGGCATAATACAACAAATCGCGCTACTAATATCTACAATAAATTTTCTCTCATTCGGTTGCACTTGTTTTATTGAGGGAGGTTATTGAAGAAGTAGTGCTACTTACCATATACTTGCTTCTACGTCTTATAAAAGCATGAACTTGTGAATTCACCACACATAATGTTGCAACTTCACTCAACTGTGCCCAATTGCAGAGTGAGTATTCAGCTTGCACTTCGACGGGCAACTTATTGTTATGCAAATTACAACAGATTTGGCCCATTTTGGGTGAGAGGTTTTGGCTAACACTGCTCACAAATGTTCACTGTCAAATATTAACAGTACATTTTTGATACAACTGAAGTCCACTTGTTGTTAAAATACACTGCTTAAATACAAAAATTACTTTTAAAAATCATAATCGAATAAAGCGTTTTTATGACTCTGTCTATATCTTAAAACCCAAGATCCACAGTATTTTGTATAATGAAGCCAATCAGTAGAAATAGTTTAATATGGGTAGGACAAATGGGTCCTTTCTATATAGGTCTAACTGCTCGCTAACATTGTCATCCCGAGCAAAGTTGTATTGGTCACACATGAATTTATTTTTACTTTGATACCATTCTTTCTAAATATTATGTAGGCTTTAAAGGAGAGAGGTTCGTTGAAAGAAATATTTTCAATGCATTAGTATATGGAGTTTCAGATTTGTGTGATTTCCAAAGGAGACAACAACGATTACATGGCCATTTTAACACCTTTTATCTGTTTTTTTCTGTACGAAAGCCTGCAATCAATGGCGGGTTTGGGGGGGGGGGGGGGGCGGGGGG